TTCCAGGCTGTAAGAACTTAAGCCTCGCCCTTAACAATCTGAATCCAATTCAATTTGTTTAATTCTCCAGCTCTCGCCATTTTAAATCGGGTTAATGCGTCATGCATTGACAGAACATTCAGAGGATTTTCTAGGGTTCTCATGCCGTCCAGTTTGTTTCGGTCGGAATTCTAGGTTCGACCTTAATTTCACGAAACGAGGTTATTGTGTGAGAGATGCTGGCAAGTACAGTTTAGTCCTAAAGTAATGAGTAGCATATGCAAATATTGAGAAGTTTCTGAGCCGAATCTTAAATATTTATTTCTCTTATTAACTAAGCTGCAATATTTTCATGCTAAACCCAAGGTGAGAATTTCTCCAGTGAGAGATTACAGTCTGAATGAGATAAAATTATAAGAGAAAGATGTCATCAAGGTTTCAGGATTTTATTAATTAAGTTGGAATGTGTGTAAGGGTCCCAAGACGCAGGCGACATTTGTATGCTGCAAGTGATTTTTTCCCCTTGAACGTCCTTGTGACAAGACGAGCAGGACAAATTAGATTTCTGCTTGAAAAGTGGATGTTAATTGTGCAGTTGCTGAAGAATCCTAAATTGAGACGTCTTCACAGTGCATAAACGGTCCAAGTACCTCAACTTTTAAATATTAAGACATCCCACCGTCGTTCGAAATTTAAATATCCATTAGATTTCAAAACTACGTTAGAGGTCTAACGTTGACACCGTTCTCGAAAAAACTAGTAGTGCAATTTTTATGGAATTCTAATATTAAAACAGTAATTTACCATTTTAACTGCCCCTCCCCAAACCAGTCAATTTTGCACCTGGGTGTCTCCCTTTAAATATAAATCTAGCTCTGATTAAATTTCATATTTAAATCGGTTCACTATTTTTCATAGATCATGAGCCCTCAAACTTCTTCATTTTCTCCGTTGCCAGGATTTATTACGAGCAATACTGAGAGTGCGCGTAGCGCCATATTCGTCCTCGAAGTTTCATAATCCTCATAAAGGGATGGGCTACTCTGTCGGCCACTCAGTTTTTCTTGTCCCTGAATCTCACTTCTGTGATCGCTGGTATTCAAAACGTGAGGCACTTGGGACGTTTTTATAACTAAATTATTTCTCTGATTGCGACATTGTTTTCTTCTTAATTAAAGATGTCTTGCTGCATTCTGTCGTGAGGTGGGCTTAATTAATGTGGAATTCGCGGCAGAGACTCCCTTTGACAAATTTTCCACGCTGGGTCATTGTTAATATTGGGCCAGATTAAAGGATGTATAAAGTCAGCTCCTTCACAGGGCAAATTTAGATGTGTTTGCAACTTTTCGTTACAAGTCCTGCACTTTTCGAGTTACATATTATTTTCTATGGTACTTCTTGTAAGGAAATGCGTTGACCATCTTTTGCCTGTCATCTCAGTTTCTGGACCTGCGAAGAAGAAATTAAGACGCCAAGCTGAAGATAATTAAAAATGTGACTGTAATTAATTAATATTGTGTAAATGTCATTCCATTTTAGTTGTGGTTTGTGTAACGACGATGTCAATATGTAACTCAACACCGTGTAACGTCGGATGTTGGATGATTAATGAATCATGAATTGCAAAGATATGAAAGGAAATGGTCGTGTCCCGACATCTATTGGGAAAACCACGAGCCCGTGAGCGCTGTCCGTTCGGTTGGGACGTTCGGGGGAATTTCGCTCCGTTCAACCAGTCAGACTTTCAGTTCTGTACGTCTCATTTAGCATTTGCCGATCACAAAGCGCGTAATACACACGATAACACACGAAAAGGCGGGCATGTGGCGGCTATGCCCTGACCAGGACTCAAACCCAGCACCAACAGAAACGAGAACATTCCTAATTGTGGTTCGTGACGAACATTTCTGCTGACAGAATTTTAAAAAAAAATCGACTTCATGACTTTTCTCAAGAAACGGATAGTTGTAGGCCCACAAGGAATTTGTGTCACTAAATATAAATGTTTCTTAGCGAAATATTTTTTTTAGTATGGGGAGTAATTAACCAAGTAGAGGAACAAACCATCTCTGACTCCATGCAACACGTATGTGAAGTGTTTAGTTTGAAACTGTCTGTACAAATTAACAAAGAACGCATTAGAAATGTTGGCAATGCAAATAGGAGGTCCCACATTGACTAGTGTCGGTGTTGGCACGGAACATGCATTCGATTAAAATCGATATATCTAACAGAAAGATATAAGACTGAATACATCGGTATAAACGAGGTACGCCTGAATAAATAAACGAACCAAAACAGACTGTGTGTTGTGATACAAAATAACCCGACATCGCCACTATATTTAAAATATAACACAATATAAACACGACAGCGGGATTTGTGTACTCGGCGCACGCAGCGACTTGACTGATTTCCAGACTCTCCACGGACACAGCACTGAAGCATGAACCGTGCTCATGTACGAGAAAAAACATCGCCACAGATCATCTCTCTCATAAATCATCTCGTCGCATGTCTCGCCACCACTGGTGTGTGAAAATCTTTCTGAATCCAGAGATGAGGTTAATGCATGTTTGATTTTGTGAGCTCCATTCCACCTGTCATTGCTAAGGAATCTCTATTTATAATGCGAACCAATCGCCCGTTGACAAAAGGAGAGTCAGTTCCCGAAACGTCGTGTAAGCTTACGTGAAATAGTCTACACTAGTCCCGTGGCCCAGAATCATACATGACATCTGGTCAATAACTGTGGCTTCTTTCATAGAACACGGAGGTTCACTGGCGCCACTGGTCCCTATTGACGACGAGTAGGGCGAGTCACGTAGCACGCACGGGGTCTGTGAGAATACGAACAAGATCTCAGTTGGGCGGAGTTAGAAAGATGATATTAAGATTGATTATAGAGAAAAGTTTCGTGTGCAGGTAAGGAGTCAGAATATGGTCCAGTTGACTGTTTTGGAACACGGGGAGGAGCCATTTATTGATATTTTAGCACAGAATATATATCCCTGATGTCAGTCCGAGGTCTTGACAGCCCGTGTAAGTCTGTCGCCGTGCTTAGTTTCCGTGACGTCACATGGGCATGACCCCTATATTCAGCGCAGTGAGGGCTTCATATCCGAGTCCCGTCTGACTCTGGTAACGAGTTTATTCTAATCGCGAAGATTTGGAGAGCGAGCAGGTGCCTACTTGCAACACGAGCTCTGAATTTTGAAGACGCTTTCGTGTTCTTATTCTTTTCCTGGGGTTTGTCGCCGTGTAGCTTCGTGGAAGGTCGATGCCAGCTTTTCAGAGAAACTAGCTGTCTCCATTAGAGAGCTGAACATCAGATCTCACGTCCTCCAGTGATTTGATATTGTCAGGAAAACCGACACAAAATTAATAAAGTTATTAATTTATTTATTTTTGTAGTTTAAATGCGTCATGTTTGTGTTAAAATTCAATATATATTTATTATTTCAGTCTATACACAAACTTAGTTTTTAAAATGTTGTTGTTAAAATTAAAATTTAGCGCTTTTCATCGTTATTACGATGTTACATTTTCAGCGCTTAATTATTTTACGACATAGCATCGAAACATGTCGTAAAATAATTAAGCGCTGAAAATGTAACATCGTAATAACGATGAAAAGCGCTAAATTTTAATTTTAACAACAACATTTTAAAAACTAAGTTTGTGTATAGACTGAAATAATAAATATATATTAATTTATTTATGTTCTGTAGTGACTCCCACTTTTCCCAGGTGGCATTGTCCTTTGGTTTCCGTGTTTGTGCATTCATGACGAGAATAATCGTGAAACTAAACATGCAACAAAACTTCGTGTGTCCCGTTACTGATCAAATTCTACTTTCTTTCTTAATTTCGCTGTAACTTCGAAATACCAACTAGCTCCACGGAACTGAGTTCATCTTGAGAAGCTGATACTCAAAAGTGTAGTTAATAAATTACCTCCTCATGTGGCGCCTGAATGTTCACGGTTTTCTTGGCAAACTGTGACAACCAACACGTGGTTAACTTGAGTCGACACGGCTCGGTAACGCGACTTATTGCGGGCTGTAGACCGGAGTTCGATTCCTTCCAGGGGCAGACGTATTTTATTCGCCACTGAACCGAGAGTGACTCTGGGGTCCACCCAGCGTTCTGTCTCTGGGGATAAAACGTGGAGCTTTACCTACACACTACTCAGTACGTCTTTTTATGTCTTGGTGCATCTGAGCTAGAATAAGTCTTGCTTCTAAATGCCCCGTATTTTTGAGTGTCCATTCTGGTAAGTGACGTTTTGAGGGGTCAGTGAATACATATCTCTCACCTCTCGTCTTTCGCGCCCTTTGTCTTGCAGTCTTACGAGATGCTAGAAAATTCGTAGTGACAGTTATGGGCACTTGGGACACCAACAGAGCTCACACTTTGTTCTGGTAGAAGTGACAGGCTTCTCGTGTTCTGCGTGTACACAATGAGACACGGCTTCCTGACGGATGTAAGAAATAAACATCACAAGCCAAGTTTCCCTTCTCTTGGCTCCTCCAAGTAGTATCGAAGTAAAGACGTGGGAAGAATTTAAGATGTTACTCTGTTGGAAGACAGGAGACGCGGTTGTGGCTTGGTATGAAACTGTCAGCGTTCAGCTTATGCACTACTCTCGCACCATTTGTCCCTTCTCATTTTATACGTGATAAACTTTTTGCCATGCAAGTAACTGGTGCGAGAGATGAGAAATATCTGTTGTTTGGTGTGGGTGTGAAACTTGGTCTCTCAGATTAAGGGGACAACGCAAATTGAGGGTGTCTGAGGAGAATACTTGGACCAAAGAGGCGCTGAAGTGGGGAGGTTGGAGAAAATTTCGCCATGAGGACCTTCATAATTTGAACGGTTGGCCAGATATTATTATTAAGATGATCAAGTTAAGTAGGATGAGGTAGGCGATACACGTAGCACGCATGGGTGGATCTTTGACTACGGAATTTTTGTGAATTATACTAACTTTTTTAACTTAATTTTCTCTTTGCTTGCAGGCGGGAATTACATTCGAGTTCTTCTGGACTGCTATGTGGTGAGTGCAGATTCTTCTTCTTCTTCTTCTTCGAAATAAGATGCTTCCTGCGTGATTTATGTTTGCTTCCTGTCTGTTACCCATTTAAATTTGATTCCAACGTGACATGCATTTTCATTCCCGTCGGAACAACGAATCTCATTTGCAACTGTTCCAAGAAACTTAAGAATTTATCGTACAAAGTTTTTCAAGAACGTAGTTGTAAGCATTGCTAAAATTATGGTTTCCTTTAAATTCGAAACTGTGGCAGACATTCTGTGTTTCTGTATTTATGACAGTTCTCGAAGTGTGTGACAGAGTTCTTCCTTGCTAATGGAACTGTTGCTGTTGACAAAATCAATGCCTACATCTCCTTGACGTTAACTTTCAGAATTCTTTGCAAGGCAGTGTGTACACCGTGTTACCCATCCACTTAAAAAGTATTACGAAACAAATGTATAGTTTGAAGGAAGACCATATTCAGAAATTTAGTAACATTAGTTACAATAACTAAGACTTTCTTGGGAATTATTACACTAAAGTATTTAATTAAGGGAAATATTCGGGATCACTAAATTTTTAGACTTTGCCCATCGTCTGATATTCAAAAGAACACATCGTTTCGGAGACTGGAACTGCTTCCATCCTCAAGTGAAAAGGGAAGAAACAGTTTATGTCACTCACTGGACCAATGACTTAGGTCAGCTCTTTCTAACGACCCAACTGAGCATCCGCCCTTTTTACCAGTTTCTGAAATATTGTGTTCTTTTGAATACCAGACGATGGATAAAATCCAATAATTTGGTAATACCCAGTGCAACAGATAATCTTCAAAACCCTTTAAAATTAAAGGAAACATCTTCAAAAGTTGTTAGTTAAAACTGTGCTATTGATTTAAGTCAGCGTGTTATTGATACTTATATATATATTTGACGCCTCTGTCCTTGACTGACTCCATGGATCGGCGCCCGTGAGGGGCTGATGTAACGCCCAGCTAGTCTACCAAATAGTATCAGAAGAAGCTGGCGAGCAAGTAGATTACATTTCGGTTAAGTTCAAAATTGCTTCAAGTGCGTGAGTTCGAATACAACATCCGAGGCTTAAGTTTGTTTTGATATTAGAATTCGCTTACTGGGAAACGCTGATGCAGGTTAGAAGTATTGACTTTGTGTTCGGTGGCTTGGTAATGCATTAGGCAACACTGAAATGGATGTAATTCCTACTTCGTACTTGACTGCAAACACAGACTGTCCCCGTCGTACATGGAACAGCTCGGATTAGTTCAGTCGTTGATGAACACAAAACCATTGTCACCGCCAAGTAGGAAACTGATCCATTCTGCAACAAGTTACGGAATAACTCGCCAGCCATTGTACAGGAACTGTTAGTTAATCATTTCCAGTTAACCATTTAAAATCAAGTGGTAACTTTTTATACCACCTGATTTTTTGTGCGTAACCAGTCCATCGTTACCATGGAGATGTGTCGTGTTTTCTCTGTGGTACGGACCGATTTTTTTTTAAAATGTTATTTAGACGATTTTCGACCTTAAAAGTTCAAAGGTTTCATTTATTGAGTTGACATTAGTCTGATGTGGCATGAAGGATTCTATAATGCACAGAAGTATTGTGAATTCTAAACATTGCCATCCTGAATTGTAACGAAATTCAATTTCTGATTGTGATAATATCATTACATGAAAAATACACATTGGTTTCGCCGTCACTAAGGCTGTAAAAATGCATTGATATGAACTGTGATTCGCGTGTCGTGGAACCAACACGAAAACTTTTTTTCCCTCCGTTAAAATGCTAAGAGCGCTGTAAAGGTTTCTCTTATCGTAAAATGGCTTTAATTTGAAGGAATATACGATACTAGTTCAAGTGTTCTCAACACAGCTCATAAAGTAAAACGTAAAATTGACCGTGACATGAGCGTGCAAGAGTGATGTGGACCGCGTAGACAGCTTCTTAACGTGAACCCTTTAAAGCCCAGTGGTAACTATATGTACCACTTACTTTAATAGTCAGTAACCCTTCAATTTACATTAATGTGTGTCGTGTGATTCTCACAGTAAACAGAGATTACTTCCTTAAACAGCGTTAACCAGCTGATTTTCGTAATGGTGAAGAGTTGTGTTTTCTTCGCGGTACGGACTGAATTCCTAAATATTATTTACACGAGCTTCGTGCTTTCTGGTTGTTGAATGCTGTTTAATACATTGCTTTAGAAAGTAAATTGAAATGCATACGAAAATCATTTCTCAAAGTTGAATCAGTTTTCAGATAAAATACATATCCCGTTCGTATGTTCGAAACTCGCTTCGGGATTTCAGAATGTTCGGTTCTATTCTTTCGTCTCCTTTCTTCGTATTTTTTTCTTTTCTATTTAGAAAGCTGCACTGCATGAGTGGGTTTTAACTTAGTTTTGACGTCCCCCGAGTTCACCCACAACTTGAGGGGGGGGTAGCTTTCAGCCAGGCCTCGTGGTCCCCTCCACAAGCCGTTATACTCAGCCTAGTAACAGTTCCAGCGTGGTTTTATAAATGTACTTACTCATTTTACTCATGTTCCTCCTGCATTTACTTATAATAAATACTGTTGTCCCGTCAACGAAACTTCACTTTAAAAAATGGAAATATTCAAAAGTATCTGCATAAATGACAAGTATCTTGTAATTAGACATGTTGCATTGGCACCCATAATGATATTAGCCATGGGGTCTGAACCCATAGGTGTAATATTTCATGCAGAAACGTAGGACGGTTCTCGGCTTGTATGCGGACAGACGTGACGAAATTTACAGGCGAAAGTTTGCATCCTTTCGTCTGTAAAGCGCCAGGAGCTTGCTTTAGCCTCAGCCCAGGGTTCCTGTTTCTTACATCTTACATTGCGAAGTGTAGCGAGATGACCTTGCCTTCTCAGCCTTTACAATACAGTGGTAACTTCTTTATACCTGTTTTTTTTAAATTATTCATTCTCCATTGTGCCGAAAGATTAAATTGTACGGGTTTCGTATGATTCTCACTGCAGACAGAGTCAGCCAGATGATCGTTGTCATGGAGACGCGTTGTGTTTTCTCAGATGTTGCTTGGATGATCTGCGGCCTCAGAGGGTTACGCGATCCTGTTTCTGAATGTTCCCTGATCGATTTCTCAGCAAGCTGTGTTGCGACTTGTCTCCCTTACACTGCAACACTGGCTCTCCACTAAAACACTAACACCGCCTTCTCTCTCATTTAACAGATGATTCATTGATATTTTTTATAAACTTTGTAATTTACGTGACTACCGTGTACCAGTTCGTTATATCAGACTCCACACCTCAGAACCCGACCTCATAGACGTGAATTCAGAACATCTACAAGGTTTCACTTTACACAATATTCTTCGTCAGTTTTACTTTCTTCGTGTTAAATTTGAAATTCTAATGCTCGCTTTCTTACCCTACTTTGTTATGGAAATAAGACGCCCCTCCTCTGCCCCCTGTGCCTTGCTTTTCACGCTCCCTTTCTCGCATTTTCTCTTTCTTTATTCTCCACCTCGCCTCCCTTATTCGTATCATTTCTCTGTTGTCTTCAGAACAACGCCAGCCCGGACTCATTTGTTTAATGATGCATTGCTTTCGCCATAAATTGAGAGCGTTATTCATACCTGTGTTTTCAGTGAGTCGAGTTACTTTAAAGACTGGTGGCCGTCGCCGTGAGCACGATAATGAACCTTTTGGTTTCCGTCAGATTTAGGGAATTCTTTGACTAGCTAAGCTACTGTCAGCTTCTTAAAGACTCTAGTTCTTGGAGTTGAATTTTGAAACAAATCGGTTGCGAGTGTGTGAATTGGACTCATCTAGCTCACATAGGCCCAGTGGCGGACTCTTGCGAACGCGACAGTGACTCACCGGCTTCAATTTCTTGGCCAGTTGAGTGGCTCTCAGTTTCTGAAGCACGCCGCTGCGTGGAGCCACTGTTTTAAATCTTAAGGTCTATTTGTCCTATAAGACGTACGCACGTGTCATCAAATGAGTCTGCTTTTCTCAGTGGAATTGGTGTTTTAACATTATGGAGAACCGATGAAAGTACATGATTGTGTATTGTATGTAGAGATGGACGTTTCGGAGGAAGCTACTTCTGTTTATATCTTGCTGAAGAGCGAAAGGGCAATTTGTATTCACTTTCCTGAAGACTGAGATAGAGACAGCGTCCGAAACGTCGCCTTTTTGTTTGACCGTACGGTGGACAGCGTCCCATGACGTATAGAGCACTGCCGATGAGTTTTATAACTTCTCAGAAGGAAATGTTTTTTGGGGGGTGAGGAAAACCAGTTGCCCGGAACAGGGGAGCATTTTTTTTCGCAAGAGTGAGAAAATATCACAAAACCACTGATGTCTCGTTTTTCGTCCGAGATTTGAACCGATGCCTCCGGAATACGAAGCGTTCATTTGTCTCAGCCGAGCCTTGAACTCTTATAACCGTCTTCTCTTTTCCGTCTTCACTCTTTGAAGCTTAATACAATGGATTTATCTTACATGAGAGCTTCATTTTCATCCCTGAACGTTATAATTGATCACCAGCTGGAAGGATGTGATACGACGTTTTCCTTAGAAATGTGACTCCTCTGGCTTGTAATGACAGATATATGTCTTCACGCTCGGTCTCGAGGTATGAGAAACTTAATTATATGAAATCGATAATGTTACTATCGCAAACAATAGAAGAACGCTCACATTCGAATTCTGGAAGTAGCTTTTGCTCCTGTCACTTCGACACCTGCTTTTCCTGATGAATATTAATTTTCCGATGGTTTCAACATAAAGACGAGATTAAGTGAAGTGTCAGACTCTCTCTCCCCATTCAGCTTATTTAATATCTCTCTCTGTTCCTTTGTTTCTTGACGAAATTCGCGTAACTTAATGAGAGAAATTCCCACCAAGAGAGCATTGGCAGCGTTCGATTATGATCCATAAGTGCGTATTCATGGACATTAATTCCATCATGCCCGCTCCTTGATCGCTGTGCCGAAAGTA